CCCCCCCCCCCCCCCCCACGTTTCGAACTCACTTGAACGCCCTATCCGCCACGCCGTACACGTGCGGCTTCCCAAGCATGCTTTTCAGGGCAGTCAGCTTGGACTTCGCGTCCGGCTCTTTGGCCCTCTTCCCGTTGCCTCTCTTGTTCGCTTGACGGTCGGCGTGCCCTTCCTTAAACTCTCGCATCAAGGCCGCGCTCCGCTCGGCCACTCTGCCGCCGGCGGACGGCCCGCGGACGCTCACGTTCAGACCTGGCAGCACGCCCGGGGCGGGCTTAACCACCTATGGGAGGGAGGAGGGGGGAAGGTCACGCAGAGCTGGTGTTGGCATTCGGTTCTTCTACCCATGGGGTGGGAGCAGCAGCGGCGGCGGCGGCCGGCATTGTTAACAAAGGGAGAACGGGGACGGAAAGGAGCAACCCCTCTTGGTACACCCAGATGCTAGAACCGCCAGGAAGCTTTTGCCCCGCAATGTTTTGTCACCCATGTGCCGGCAGAAACTACATCAAGAACGACCAAAGTAACACCAATAACTATTTTAACTATACGAAGAGCGCTGGTGATGACGCGAATATGTGATTTCCATGCCCCAAACAGACACCAGGTGACTGCAATAGAAACAACACGGCCCATCGACGCGATCGCATGAGGTGCCGATACGCTCAACCCTCTTCCGGGGGCGAGTTTGTCACAAACGTACCGGCATGGGGATATCGTAGAGACCAGGGATATCCGTGTACGGGTTGATCGACACCAGCACGTCGGCCACATTCGTGTAGATGGAGTTGGCTCGGAACCGCCTGTGTAGTATCGGAGAGCGGGGAACTATTTTCTGCCTGTCCGTTTCTTTGCGGTGGTTTGGTTGTTGTTTAAGTTCTCTGGACATGCTTCGTGCGCCTTGGTCGTTCGGGGGCAACCCCTCTGAACCGTGCGTCCAAGCTACATCGCAACGTTTTCAAGTCGAAAAACACCGATGCCGTCGAGCACGAGTGAAGACTTTCCAATATGTCACCCCTTGTAAGCCGGACGTACGAAAACATTTTGAGGATCACCATGAGCAATTGTTTTGCGGCAAGCACATCAGTATGAATACCGTCTCATTTTTCGATTTGGGTTCAGAGGTTTCTGTAGATGGAGCGCACGGAGAACGCGGAATGTACCAATGATGCTCCGAATACTCTGAACATTGAGACCACTAATGATAAGGATGACGAAGGCACAACACCAACTTAGCAGCAGCAGCAGAAGCCCACCTGTGGAGAAGATCGAGAAGTGGCGCCTCGTGCATCTGGTTCATGCGCGACGCATCGTCGAGGTCTAGGGCGTGGCTGGGGTCATAGTCCGCGCAATCTCCCAGAGAAATCTGCACGGCAGCAAGCGCCCCGACGCATCGGTCATCCAGAGCATAATTCAAAGTCATGGGCACCGACATGTAGCCATCTACGAGCTGTGGCAGGGGTAGGTAGTGCGATTTGTTTCAAGCGGAAACCCGTCTTGATACCTGCCCAGATTACTGAAGAAAACGGAACGGTTTCCGCTTTCCGTGTTGGTGCAACATCAACGAGCTGTCGGTCGATTCGTCGTTTGCAAGCGACTCTGAAAGGTGAACGAAAATAACGCCATATCCCACTGGTTATGGAATTTCTGTAAGCTTCGTTTGAGAGCAAGGTAGGAATGAAATCTTGGGGTGTGCCTCCACAGGGAATTCAGAAGCAGGGGCGTTTCTGTCATTGCTAGTACCCGTCGGCGGAAGCGCCGTGTATCAAACGTACGATCGACCTCGGGCTCCGCTTTTTGTTCCCCGCTGCGACATGGCACAGGACCCCCCCCCTCCCGTTCCAACATACCCAACGTCCGCATTGACGGCTGCCACATCGACGCAAACTACACTAAGCGGAACATCGACAACACCTACTTCGATCGCCTTGCTGGCCGTCCTTGGAACCCACGGCGAAGAATACCTCATCGTATTTTCAACAGATGCCAACGGACCGAGGACATGAAGTCTGGCAGGAAACGTTTCCTCTGACCACAAGTCCTTGCGAAAGACCGGCAACTGGGTCCTATCTGGCAGCCACAACTGTCTATGTTCAAAGTGGAGCAGAACCTCAAACGTGTTGCAATGAGGAACACACACAGCCCTTGGAGAAGAACGGTCCTTCACCCACCAGAGTGTTGTTTTGACCAACGTCCTCTCTTCTCGATCTACGCCGCACCTGATCCCCCTAATAGCCAATGTTGGCAGTTCCCAAGAGAGTATCAGAGTACCCAACCCGCACCTACGGTACTGAAATAATTCGAGTAGACTTGCCTCGGTCTCCCGCTTTCCGTCTTTGGCCAGCACGGTGTATGAGTTCCCGTCCGCGCTGTCGGACACGACCTCGGCTATCCTCCACACCGCCGCTTTGTCGGGTAACCATACGCGCCGACCGCTCTGAAATTCGTGTGGGTTAGAAACAACCGTATTTTCGGGAGTGGGAAAGCAGTTGGCTTCTTGTTTGGATTTTATCCTAGAGTCCCCTAGCACCCTACCCGCAACGACCGTTCTTCCGATTGGAAAGCTCGATCGGTTGACGATTTTTCATATCTCTACATGGGTTTTCTGTGTTCTGATCCAATTCACCAACGAAATACCCGCGAACCAAGAGAAACAAAGCAAAATATTGACGTACAAACGGGCGTCGAGGGAGCGGGGAGAAAAAACTCTCACCGCTCTAGCGTCGCGGCCGAACCCCCCGGTCAACCCTCTTGCGGTTTCTGCTTCCATTATCCAGCGCTCAGTTTCATCCTGGGAAGAAGGGCAAAAAAAAAAAAAAAAAAAGTATGAGTTTCACACACAAAGCTGGGAATCCAAAGAAAGTGGGTGGTTTTCCACAGGTGGACGAGATAGGTTTTGCTAACAACGTCAATCTTGAGATGGTTGAGCTTAGGTCAGTCCTCTCATTCCATGCAATGGTTGTGAGAATAGTGCCAGTTGTCAACGGCGATGTGTTTGCCACGATTAGGGCTGGTTTATGGCATGCCCTTGTGCAAAGCCTCTGACTGGCAAAGCATCGAGGCATACCCAAGGCCCATGCGAGTACTCACGTTGGACGAACAATTGCGGCAATGTTCTGCATGTTTCATCTAAACAATGAGAAGCTATTGTGAATGGGGGCATGTTTGTTACAAACGAAAAACCGAAGTGCAACAAAAAGTGGGGGGATAAGACTATTTAGGCCGTTGATTCCGTCAGCGCCCACGCTCCTCCTTCACCTGCCTTTTCTCGATGGAAAAATGGTGGGTTTGAATTTGAAGCCTGCGAAAGAAACTGTACCTCTCCGCTGTCAATATCCAGCTCGATTTCGGTCACGGCGTTTGTCGAGGAACCCCCAGTCTGCGAAGAGGAGGTGGCGGCATCGCCTCCCGCTCCAGCTCGACCTTCCTCGTTGAAACGGTGCACCAACCTCCGCAGCATGCCTCGATGCTGCTCGCCGTGAAATACGAGACACCTGTTCCTCGCGGGGTGAAGAACGCGAACACGCAACAATCAGACATCTCGAGAAGTACCGCAGAACATACCAAGACCTGGCGCGCCGTTGACGCGTTTTCTCCGATTGGTGTGTACGGATGGCTGAGCGCATTGGGACAGTCGCACATGTTGGTCCCCGAGATGTTTCGGGTCTTTCTGCGGGGATACAGAGATTCCTGTGGCTTCAAGACGTACCTTTAGTAGGATGGGGCGTACTCTTCGATCGTTGCGGCGCAGCTCAAGTGCAATTCAGGCTATTCATGCGGCGGTATAGGCAATTGGCTGTGGTTTCAATATTGGTACCTAGCTTAAGCAAGGGTGGGTGCCTTTGGTCCAACCTACCCTGGACACCTTTGGAAGACAGACCCCAGCTTGTTACCTTTTGTAGAATGATGAAAAGTCGTTTTCCTTGAGTAGGTTCATGCGAAACAACTTATCCATTTTTGTGCCAAAATATTTAAATGAACACGAATTGAACAGCAGCGAAACATAGATATTCGTGATCGTCTTGTCGAGCTACGTCGATAGCTGCAGAGTTTTTCCCGTTTGAGCAAAAGACGCTCGTAGTATTAGAATGGTCCACGGTAGCCCTGTCTCGTCACGGTGTCCCCTATTGTCTGCTAGAGGAGCCCTTCTCAAATTACCCCCCAATAAGCATAACTTTATTGTACACATATTTGTTTGGGGCCCAATCTTATGCATACGCCGCATTTCTCGTGAATTTCGTTTTTCTCCGAAAGACAATAAAACACCCAGCGCAACTGACGAGAGGAGGAATCCAGGAACCGTCTGTCGCATTCATGTTTGAAATCCTATGGTTGGATGTCCCGAACACATCGATGGAAATGGCCTTGCATATTCAGGTAATGTTCAGCACCTCGCGACTTTCCTGGAACCAAAATACTGAAGAAACACTCCCGGGACAACGAGCACATGAGACCTCTCCGAACCGATAGCGCCCGCACGGAAGATCGTTCAACTAAATAGTTTTGGCCGATGCGGGTGTTCTTTCAGCAGTAGTTCCTCCAAAATGGGCAATGGTCATACATGTACAGATTATCGTGTGAGGGTTCCTCACCGGGATACCAAATTGTGCTCAAGTTCTGTGTCGTGATGTACAATTAGTATTAGTAGTAAATCATGTCGAGCATGAAAATCTTAAGTGGCAAGTTCATCAACCGGCGCCACCTGTACGGTAAAGTACGTCCGCGTGCCTCAACAAAACGAAAAAACAAGGAAAAAAAAAACTGTCAGAAAGTTGCGCCTGGAGACACGGCGTGTAACAGTGGGGAACTGTTACGGTAGATTTCTGGACAACCAACCTCCCATCCAGAGCAAAGCGCACCTTGGTGCTGGGGGAATGTTGACACGTTGTGGGTGACTGGGCATTTTATGTCCCCGTCACGAAAATCTTCAGTCCAGATTGAGACTCCCCAAAAGAGGAAAGGACTGCTGTAGCGGAACAGCAGTATAGGCCAATGCTGCTACGGACGATAACACAACGGCATGTTCGAAAGCCAACGGTAGTGTTCGACGAAGAAAGATAGCTGTGGTCCAAATAGGGCTGGGATGGCAACACCTGATGACATAGTCAGGCACAGCGGGATGTATGTTGGTGGGGAAAAAACGAAGATGAAAAGAAGAAAAAAACCCGGCGTGGGTGCCCCCTCCTGTGTGACCCCGGACGGTGCGTCTAGCTAGTTGTACAAGTAAGCTGAGAAGTGTAAGTGGACATACGCGGCAAACGTGTAGTGTGCACCGAAGAGGGGTAAGCAGGCGGCGCCAGAGATGGGATGAAAAAAAAAGGGTCTGTTGCTGGAACTCGCAAACGGTACTGCTTCCAAACCACGAGACAGCGGGAATTCAGTACCATAATATGGAACAGCATCAACAATACAGCACCGACCTGCATTGCTTACGCATGATGAAGTATTGGGATATGCCGCAGCTCTCCTGCCAGCAGCATCACGCCTCGTGAAAAAAACTTTGCTTCCACACGTATCAATAACTGCTGTGCTGATGGTTCTCTTGTTCAGGAATATATCTACTGCTGTACAAGTGCACAACAACAACAACTGCTGTACATATTATTTTATTTTTTGCAGCTGTCGATCCACCTCTCTTCTTGCTGCCCCGGATGAACACATCCCGTATGTAGCTACGGCAGGTGTGGCCTAGTGCTTTAAGAAGGGAACTCTCTCCATTATCATGCCCAGACGGTTACCGTGAGTCTGCGTGCACGGAAGCGTGCGAAGTGTCTATACTGGGTCTTCGGCGTGTCTGTCTGTGGGCACCCTTCTCGGCAAGCGTGCTCGGCAAGTGTTTCAGTACACCTGTGTGGAGCTACCGGCATCAATACACTTCAATTTTCAAGCTCTACGAAAAAAAAAGTCTACTTCTACTGCTGTAGAGATATGCATACATAAAAAACAAACAAAAACAAACAAAAAAACCCGCTAGGAGTGCAGCAGAAAAAGTGACAGATGTCGACTATACTGATACCCTTTGCTTTCTGGCTGGGCCAACACCGAACGCAACTACTACCTTCTCACCCGTTGTGGAGGTCAGTCCACTCGAAGGCGGCTGTTGCCAGCACGTGGAAAGCTCCCTTTCTCGGCCGCTTATATTAATCTGGGTTCAGAGTCTTATTTTGTTCTTTCCGACGGTCTCTCTCTGTCTTCTCTGGCTCGCCCTCCTCCTTTCTGCACCAACGCTATTGGTATCTCGGACAGTTTTCCCGCTGAGAAGCTCCAGCGTATGGCGCGGCGGCGCTCTCCTCGCCACTTGCGTCCTGCGGCCGCTTTCTTGGAAAACAGAACCCCAACAATGCTATGGTCTAGCTCGGGCATTCGTTCCTGCCCGTTGAGTTGCCCACAGGGGGTAATAATGTACGTGTGCGCCAGTGGTACGCAGCGGCTGGTGCGCTGGTGCGTGCGCTGAACATCCGGAACACATCATGATCTCCGAAAAGATCACTATCCACACGCGGCGAAATACGCACCGGTTGACACGTGGATCAAAATCTCGCCGCACGCAGAACCCGCAAAGTCCTTATCGTCCGGTTGCCTGGTTTTCTCGTGGGGTGGGATCAATGCATCAAGGACACATGTGTTGCGGCGTGTAGAGAGGTGAAGGCAATCAAAGCTGGATGGGCGGGGATCGATACAATCCCAGTCAGGCAGAGCGAGAGCGAAGACTTACCCGGGGCAGAGAAAAACTGCCGGTGATTTCGCCCTTCGCAGCGACTGCACAACCGCTGTTGGAGGTGAGGGCCCACCGGTTCCTCCCTTTGCGTTCGTAGGGTGCAGGTCATGTTGCTCTACCAGCTTTCCCACGATACGTTTTCCACGCAATGCACTTGATTATAGAGTAAATAGATGTGGGCAGACGCGGTGGTGTAAACTTTTGTTATGAGGTTACGAGCGTAAGGGCAGACTCTACCCATCTGTGTGTCATTCCTGCGGTAATATCTTCGCAGGGAGTGTCTGCTGAAGCGCCGTGCTACTGCATCTCTTCGCAGTGCCACAAGTTACGAACATGATTCCGCGTTGACTGTTCAAGTGTTGGGGTCGAGGCTTGTGAACATCACCGAAAAAATGCCCCAAGCGAAACAGTCTAGACGACAGAGATATTCATGATGTACACATAGTCTAGGCCATGCGTCGATGCATGTTTATTCCCTAAAGCCTAGAGATGTACATAGTCTAGTCTTCTAGTCTACAGCTGTAGCCTACTGCTTTGTGGCGTTGTACATGTGTGCGACATGTATCGAGATACGATGTAGGCACATTGCTGCCACACTTGCGGGAAACGTCCTTTTGGCCCGTCGTCCGTTGGGCGAACCTAATTAGACTTGTTGCGCGAGGAAGAAAAGTGATGTCCTGCCAGACAGTGCATGCACGTATTTTAATTATTAGCATTGACCGCGCTAACCGGCTGACCAATGAAAATACGTCAGTGCCAGCGGGTAAAAAATCAAGGTCGCTGGAACGGAGCCAAAATTCAGAAAATGCGAAATGCGCTAAATGCAAATGCCAATACGACTCTCTCTACATTTCCTTTCACGTAGACACACATCTCAGCTACACAAATGCCCTCGCTCGAATCTGGAAGCCACTGATGCAAAGAGCGGAGGACAGCAAAAGGGTTATTTCAAGCCCAGCCGAAGCCAGGATATCGTGGTATGCTGCATCTCCCAATTTGATAATCGTACACTCCCAAGATCCAAGACTCATCGTGTCAGCAGCTAGATGACTCAAACAAAGGAGCAACACGTACACTGCCATAGCTCCGCACATGCCCTCATCCGAACCTAGAAAGCCACTGATGCAAAGAGCGGAGGACAGCAAAAGG